TACTTTCACCACTTTTATGCAGTTTTACATAAACAAAATACTCCCAGATGTTTCTCCTTTAATAAAAACCAGTAAGTGCTATGTAGAAAAACAGGCTTTTGTGTCCCCAAGTAGTGTATTGAGGTTTAAGGACTATTAGTACACTCAACATCATCAAAGGAAAAATAAATAAATTCCAAACCTCAAATACCGAAGCCCCCAGGCCATCTGAATGTTAGCTCTATATTCATACTGAGCTGTCTTTCTGGTATGTAAGGAGATTTAATAAAGTCCTATTTTAAGCCAGCAATTTTTGAGGCATCCACACATCATTAAACTCTGCTGTGCTGTCAGAAAAACGCTGAGTCAAGCCAGCTTCTTCTGCAGTTGCTTTCTCTGTCTGTGCAACGCCTCCTTTCCCCCATGACGGCTACTTTGCTCCTATTTTTGTTGCGGTGTTTTTGTTGTTACTTTGCATACACAGCACACACCCCCGCGGGATGCGACATTGCAGCCGAGAGCAAAGATCACTGCCATGCTGGAAGTAAATGAAAGCTAATTGAAACTTGCCCCTTGCATCAAAGCCATCCCTCATAACAACACGCATGACCAAACAGTGCAGGTCAATGTACAGTGGGCAAGAAACACTGGTAGACACACAAACTCTGACCCACATGGGCAACAATCCCTGAAACATATCAAAGCATGAATGTAGAGGAAAACTAATTCCCTTTGTTTTCTGCCTCAGGTACTTTCTGATTTGTGTCAACTACTTCTTCTATGGAGAAACTGTTGCAGATTACTTTGGGGCTCTGGTGCAGAGGGAGGAACCTCTGCAGTTCCTGGCTCGATATCACCGCTTCATCTCCTTCGCGTTGTACCTCGCAGGTGAGTCTCGCCTTCGAGACAATACGGCTGTTGTATCTCCATAAACACACATGCTCTTTGGCCCTTTGTCTCTCACTCACGTTTTCCTTACGGGGGTGGATTCGGTTTCACAAGACGCAGCTTTTACTCAGTAGAGTTCAGTTACAAATAACATTACTGGGGAAATAAATTGAACAAAAGCAGAAACAAAGCCCTCGGGGAGCTTCTTGGTATAAACAGACTAAACTGATTTACAGTGATACAGCTTTTTCTTTGGTGCTTACATTTATTGATAGGACTGTTTATTGCTGCCGGATGTGCCGTAAAAGCACAAATATTGAGGTGTGGCTTTTATCAGCGTGCTGTTTCCATACATTATGGGTAAAGAGAAACAGCAACTAACCAAAAAATCCAAGTGTATAATTGTAGTTTTCTTTTGGAAACTGCCAGTGATCTTAGATTCAAATCATCTTAATAAATTGCTAAACATAAATTCATTTATCAATATATGTTACAGTTTTTTTCCCCTGTTTGTACTGGGCTATCATGAGCTGGGGAACTTTACAAATTTGCAGCAGTTGTGGAGATCAGCTGTGAACTGAATCCCATGCAAATGTGTTGCCACAAATGTGACCACTGTTTGCTAAACAGAAGATGAGGCTTCAGCCTCTGTGTGATCTGAAGTCGACGGGTCTTTTTTTGCCTCCCTGTTTCCTGTGTTGGCAATTACAAATGAAAGTCTAGTGGTAAATTTAGGAGAGCTCATGTTGCTACATGGCATAAAGACCCATTCAGATGAGAGGCAGGGGAAATCTCAGTGAGACGGGAGGAATGCACGTTTTGTAGCTTGGCCGAGAACGGCTGAGTTTGACCGGAGATATCGGTAAAATTGAGTAAAAGAGACTTTGTTTATCCTGCGACTGCACAGCTCAAATCATGAGCCTGGAGGAGTCTTTCAGAGTCATGCAAAGTCCCTCTTTGCACAGGATTAGTGTTACCAGGAGATGTTAATTAACATTCATATGCCGAGGGCTGAGCCCACAGGGATGGCAGATGTTCTCACTGAGTGCTGCCATGCATGTTTAACCTTTTTCATCTTTCGGTATTTCACTCTGATGGATTCCACCTTACTCACTGAGGCCCGATTTTCACTTGATTACTTGATTAGAGGAGCTCTGATTGGGGAAATATTGCAGGTATTTTGTGTTCACACAGGGTTAAGGTTACAGATGATCTCCTTAACAGTTAAATAGAGTTCTTGGAGTTTCCTGCTAAGTAGCCACTAATTTCAATTTCTATCTGTGCTGAATAAAAGTGACATTTTTCTAACAAACTATTTTGTAGAAACAACTGTCCCATTTAGGATAAAGGGTAGTAAATCCCCACTGTCACCCCCCAAAATAAGCTGAGGTAGGAACCTAACCCAACGAAACAAACTGTGGATTTGGATCTTTACACTCCTAATGTTCTTGTGTAACCTTTAACCTTTAAAAACCCTGACCCAAAAATGGACCAAATGCAAAACCTGCGTGCAACCCCCAGTAAAGACCCGAGACACTCGGCGTGCTTGTGATGATTCTGTATTAACGGGTACACGACTCCCCAGCTTTCCAGCTGTCTCCATCTGTCGGTACCGGCGTCACTGAAATAGCGCGAGTATCATTACCAGATAGTTTTCAGCCGCCCTGGCACTGCCCCTCATCTGCAGACCACATCTCCACCACACAGCCGCTGTGTTTAAATAAAAACAAACATCTTCATGCATTCATATTGTTTTCAGTGTTAAAGTCCACTGGAAAAACGAAAGTGTTTTATTTTTATTTTAATCTGTCTCTTAGTAGCAAGCGCAGAAGTGCAGAAATAGCTAGGTTTAGAAATTAAGATTAGCTTCTGCTTTACAGAACAAAGTGCAGTTTAATGTAAGACGAGCACCATTTGGCATCTGAGACATTTTGAACCACACGTGGTCTTCCTAACCTGCCACAGTACCAACTCTGCAGAGGGTCTGTCCTAGAAAAAGCTCACACACAAGCTCTCAGCTGCACCAAGTCTCGGCTAAAGTCAGTGTACCATCAGAGTTACCAAAGGTTAAATGCCCAGAGGCTTTCTGTGAAGGAAAACTGAGAAGTGTCCAATCACAAGCGTGTCTCCCACATCCCCCTGAAACACTACATCATGTGTTACGAGTCTTGATATTTTTGGTTATAGCGTACACTTGTTGTTCATCTTGGAGTAAAAACTGACAGCATGTCGTCTGCTCTTTCACAGGTTTCTGCATGTTTGTGCTGAGTTTAGTGAAGAAACATTACCGCCTGCAGTTTTATATGGTGTGTATCAGCCAAGTAACCATCTACTCCTCTGCTGCACCACTAACCCTCTCATCCACCCCCTCTCATGGCTTCCTGCTTCTTCTGTCTCACTCAGAGGAATTTAGAAACTCATCTCACGCCTGCAGAAGGCTTTTTAGGTCGTGTTTGTCATTAAATGCTATCCTGCATTAGCTCTCTGTCCACACCGACACAGCGTTCGATCCCAGATGAGTGCAGGACTTCTGCAGTGGCTCCAGCTGTATTTCATTTATGTGCACCTGCTTCGCTTATTTCTGTCTGTAGCCACCTTTATGCTCCACATTTTATCAACCAAACAATTTTAATGACTAACTTAATTTTAATTTTTATGTTATCTCACATACAAATTTATGCAAATTGCTACAAATAGCACGAATGCAAACATTTCTCAAGACAGGCCGCCGCAAAGGGAAGAGCCACCCTTTCTTTCATCCAACATGATTATTTTCAGGCTAAACTGCTCATTGTATATTAATATTTTAGAATGGTTTAATTGTGCTGCTGTCTTTGTTTCTAGTATTGTAATAATTTAGTTGCATGCGTCTCCACAGGAATCAGTTCTCTCACTGTCCACCTGCTGTCTGCTTTTCTTTTGATGTTTTTCACATTTCTGCACCATCTGATCTGCGGTGTGGCTCTGTCAGTGCCAGCCAGCATGTCCGCCTGTCCTTCTGTTTGTTTCCACTATTTCTGACATGATCCGACTTTCTGAGCAGGCACGGCTACATTCCAGTGCAGTGACACTGTGGTGTTTGTGTTTGTGTTTGCCATTCCAGTTTGCTTGGACCCATGTGACCCTGTTGATTGTGGTAACTCAGTCCCACCTTGTCATTCAGAACCTGTTTGAAGGAATGATCTGGTAAGCAGGACAAAGAAAGACTAGAGGACGCTGCCCTGTGTCTGACTATCACTGTTTTATATGTTTCATCGCAACTGTGTGCCCACTGTCGGAGTTCGCTTTGTGCAGGCTTCTTAAAAAGGCAACAGTGCATTTAAAAATTAAGTCACACCAATAAAGTTTTAAGTAAGAGGAAAAAATAAGTCATTAGAGGGCAGAAGCATTTTTGAGCCAAGTCACATACTGATTCTTACCTCTCATCATCGCTGAAATTCCTGTTTTTCAGGTTCATCGTCCCCATCTCCATAGTGATCTGCAATGACATCATGGCCTACCTGTTTGGGTTCTTCTTTGGGAGGACTCCGCTCATTAAGGTAAATTCGAAATGGCTTTGAATTTCTATTTCATGCTGATGAAATTTAAGGTATGAGAAGTTGGAAAACTGAACCTCTTTTCAGTGGTTGATCTCATGGTGACTATGTCCCTCGTTTATATACAGTCTATAGATGAGACCTGCAGAAGCTGTTGTGGAAAACATACGTAAAGAGAGTCTCCCTTCAGTTTGTTAAAGAGTTGCTTTCATGGTGAAACACAGAGTGAGCTCAAAACTAATAAATGTTCAGCATCAGTGAGCGATGAATGTTTTATCAGACTCATGTGCCGACTGCTCTACAGTCTGCCTCAGTATCAAAACAGGTTGTTGAAATTTGCCTCACAGGGCATCTGCATGGAGATCCAAGTAGTTATAATAAGGTCAGGTTGGATTCTCCAAGTGCTGAGGAGAGATGCTTCATTGTTTCAGAGGAAATGTAATTCAAAGCAACAGTAACTAGCCAGTGGGAGAAATAAGCGTTTGATTGTCTGTTGAAGTCATTTTAACCACTTACAAAGAAATGAGCCAACGATGATTCAGTGGTAAGTTTGCTTTAATAGTTTAAGAAAAAAAGCATTCTCCAACAAATTACTGTTTTAGGGATTTGAGCCTCTCGGAGGACATGGTGTAGTACTTGGTGGAGTAGCTGTTGTGGGCAAGCACGGCTGTTAAGAAGTTCTCGTAGTCAGTCCTGAGGTTCGTGCACATCACAGATTTTTAGCCACTGCTCTCTGCAGAGTTTCTCAGGGTCTTTAAGGTTTCTAGTTTCTCACTGGGAGACACAAAGCTTCTGGGCTCTCTGTGGGTCCAGAGGCTGACTGGGCAACTCCATGGCCTCCACATGCTGCTTCTTGGGCCACTCCAGAGTGAAGGAGGTTCTTGTTAAACATTTTTCCATCTTTTTCCGCAATGTGATGCAGCTGTCTTGTGCTGTGGGTAGGGGGAAAAAAGCAGGCAACAGTCGGCATTGTTTTCCCTTGAACTGTGCGGAGAGGACTAATGCAGACGATTCAGTTTGGTCTCATCTGAGTCATTCAGGTGTTCACTGACAAACCTGAGTCGGGCCTGAACATGGGCCTTCTTGAGCAGGGGTACTTTGCAAGCACTGAAGCTGAATTTCAAGCCGTAACAGCTTGGTAGGGAGTCAATGGGGGTCAAGTATTTATTTATTTCCCTCACTGTAACCACAGCTCTTCCAGGCAGCATTGCGATCAGACTCATTAAAAGCATGCACTGTTAAAGCACTGAAATAGTCAGATACAGGTCTTGAACTGTAAATCTAATGGATGTTGAACCCTCATCATCTGATGACAGCCGCTGCTGCTGTACAGACTCAGCAGATCGGAGCTGAGGGCAGAAAAAAAAGACTGATTTGAAATCACGAGTAGTTTGTGGTGAGACTGAGAAACCACACGTCATGTTGATGTGAAAGAAGCCTTGTGTTTGTGTTTCTCACGCCCCGCAGCTCTCACCCAAGAAGACCTGGGAGGGTTTCATCGGAGGGTTTTTCGCCACTGTCTTCTTTGGCTTCATTGTGAGTACGCTTCTTGTTTTTTACATTTTTGCTTTGACTCACATGGTCAGCATTTCCTGCTATGCAGAGCTGTTTATGGAAGCAGACAAATCAAAGGAAACGTAGATGTTGCCTTTCTTCTGCGTTGCTACTGTAGATAAGAAGCAGCTGTCGCCAATCTGTATTTTACTGTTAGGGTTGTGATTGTTGGCAGTTTCCTATCACTCTTACAACTGCCAGGACATTTTTATAAAAGTCACGTGACTCTTAGTCACAGAAAAAATGTGAAATATGCTTGGATGTAGGGCTGCCACAAACGATTATTTTGATAGTCGACTAGTCACCGATTATTTTTGTGATTAGTCGACTAATCAGATCATCATCCATTGGACATAAAATGTACAGCTTATTGCACCAGCAGCACCTGCTCTTATATAACTATCATTAGCTTACAGCTTTAAGTGTTTAAGGTATGTGCTAACTAAAAATAAAGACAAGATAATAGTTTATTAAATTTTAATGAAATTTGCAGATTGTTTCGGTGAAGTTTAATAAACTCCTTGCTATCTAAAATATAACAGGACACTCGAGCATCTCACACTTCTGATAATCAGCTGTCTGCTTGACGTTTATTCAGCTGTGTAAAAACTATAACTTTAATCTCAGCCAAACCGATTTACTCAGGAACAAATAAAATACTAAAAAAAGCCAAACAATAACATTTTGAAGTTATCTAAGTGACTTATATATCATGTTTAACCTGAGTAGCGAAAGACCGCGGTGGGTTTGAAAACGATTTGCCGGGAGTCCGGTGTTCTCACGGCTCTAGTTAGCCTAGCCCCCGGCTAGCTATCGAGCTAGTGGCTAACAGACTTCTCCGAAAACGTCGGAGCGCTTTTGAAAATATGTGGTGTCTTGATAAACTGAGCAGATATTTGAGGTTTACACAGCTACATTCTCGCCTGAAAATATGTTAAACGTTTATTTTGTGACCCAGAAAGAATAATAAGAGTAACATTAAAACTAACTAGCTGCCACCATTGTTGTAAACTGAGCTGGACTGCGCTATGAATTCTGGGACACAGCTTCTTCTTCTTCGGGGTTTAACGGCAGGTGGGGTCCTTTTACATGCAGTGCTGCCATCTTCTGTTTCAGTCCGTTATTACACTCTTAAATCCTACTACTTATTCCTGCGTCTTTTGGGATCTTACAAAGCTTCAAACGACACGTCAACTATTAAATCAGTCGTCAACGATTTTGATAGTCGACGTAATCGTGACTAGTCGACTAATTGTGGCAGCCCTACTTGGATGTTGTTGGAGTTTTGATTTTTTTTTGCAATTTAATGGCAGTCGGGACCAAAATAGCCATTTTTCAGCCTCATTTTTACAATCACGTTGGTGCTTCATGTTCGTTTGCATCTCACAGGTGGTTATTTCAGAAGCTAATGTTTCCTTTGTGTTCCCTCAGCTGGCCTACCTCCTCTCTCAGTTCCAGTGCTTTGTGTGTCCCGTGGGCTTCAACAGTGAGTCAAACAGCTTCACAGTTGAATGTGAGCCGTCTGACATCTTTGTGATGCAGGAGTACACACTTCCCACTGTGCTACAAAACACACTGAGCTGGGTAAGACTCTGTTCTTGTCTTTCTTTAGGAGTCATAATCATGACGACATTGAGAGATTTTAGAATGAACTCTAAAGTGTCAAAGACATATGCAGTACTCCTCCTGAAATCACCAGAAATGTTTTGCAGATGCTACATTATTTAGTTTATTTCTAACACGATGTCATTAAAAGTGATGGTCATGGTTATTTCCAGCTCCAGATTTTTAGTCTTTCTCTGCAGATCAGATTAAAATGGCTTTGATTAAATAACTTTTCCATATTTGTTTCGTCTCTTCTTGCCTCTCTTGCAGAAAACTGTCAACCTGTATCCCTTCGCGATCCACAGCATCTTCCTCTCGTCTTTTGGATCTCTCATCGGACCGTTTGGCGGCTTCTTTGCCAGCGGCTTCAAGCGAGCTTTTAAAATCAAAGTAAAGAGCATCTCCATTTCTTCTTCGTGCGTTCGCTCCTGTTTATCTGTTTGTCAGCGGGATTGCACAAGAGGCCTAATTTCATTGAGTTTGATGTAAATGTGGATCATGGACCGAGGAGGAACACATCTCTAAATATTCTGATGGGAGGGCTGAGCGGATGTGCTCTCTGAGGGCCTGTGTAGCTCATCTGCTGTTCATCCGGGATACTCCAGGGCTTTTGTTTCACACTTTCTGTTTGATGCAGTTTTCTGTTCAATCTGTTTTCCAGGTGAGATTTAAGTGTTGTTCGTTTCTGCGACCCGAGTGAGTGGTAGTAGTTAGCTGGAGCTGCAGCTCATACACTCACTGTCACAGATTAGTATCAGAGAGAGCGACGGTTGAAATGTTGCAGAAACTGGTTGGACCACTTCAGCTGTGTTTACTCGCTGAGATTGTATTTAAAGTGGCAGGCAGCTCAGCATTGTTTGCTTAGTCACTAATGCATTCATTACTCCAGGCTGTCAGAGTAAACTGTAGCCACCAGTGGTTTGTGCTTTTTTTGTGTGCATTCCTGGTGGCCTGTGTAGCATATCTTCACCTAGTGACACCTAATGGTGTTTGCGATCTTTAAAAATAGCATCTTTTCCACACAGTGTAGTTATCATATTATGGATAAAAGCACAGCTTGGATGCTATAGCATGCTGTGTGTCTTCTCCTTCAGGACTTTGCCAATACCATCCCCGGCCACGGAGGCATCATGGACCGCTTCGACTGCCAGTACCTGATGGCCACCTTCACACACGTCTATATTGCCAGCTTTGTCAGGTAGGAAGCGGTGGCAGTTTTAATGAGTTCTTATAGAGGAACTTTGTGCTGCTGTGGTAGTTCCGTCTTTTGAACATTTAGAGGTGTTTCAATCGTGTGTAATTTGAATTGATTTTAATGGCAAGGCAGTTCACAAACCCTTCAGCCACAGTATATGAGCTACGAGTGGCGGCTACATGCTGTCAGAATAGAGGGTCATGTGACTAAAGGTGACACTGGAATCAAATTTTACCAGATTGTGTAAAATTACGGACACTGAAGATAAAGTTTCAAGTAAAAAATCTCAAAATATAGCTGGTCTGGTTTAGGGCTGCTCGATTATGGCAAAAATGATAATCACGATTATTTTCACTGAAATTGAGATCTTGATTATTTGATGATATTTATTTAACAATAACAATGTATTGAATAATGACTTTAAAGATTGTCAAAAAATAATATAAAATACTGTGCAAATACTGATAACTGTGCAAATGTTTGCAATATAAAAAATTAATGAAAAATGTAAACATCTATGTTTAGTGAACTTTGCAGTGTTGCTCTGTGGTGCAGCTACGACTCTGTAGCAAAGTTTACACACTGTGTCTACTTGATCCACGTCTGACTCCGCGAACCCATAATGTTTCCACACCACTGAAGTTTTTTTACCTCTCTTTTCAACCAACGGCAGTCACTCTCCTCTCCAAATAACTTCTGCTTAGCTTTCCGAGCTTCCCTCGGGTCCTCTTAATCAGCGGTCCCCAACCCTCGGGCCTCGGACCGGTACCGGGCCGCGAGAGTTGAGGCTCAGGTGTGAAATGTATAGTTTTCAGGGTTTTTATCGGTTTTCAGCGTTATTTTGTTATCGTTTTTATCGTTTACTCGGTTTTCCTGGGTCTTTTCACGTGTGTTATGAATAAATCTTCTTATTTTGGTACCGGTACTAGTTTTATTTTGTTGTATTTATCCGCGACACCTTAAAGGCCGGTCCGTGAAAATATTGTCGGGCATAAACCGGTCCGTGGCGCAAAAAAGGTTGGAGACCGCTGCTCTTAATTGTTGTGACACGTGTTCGAAATGCAGAGAGGTGCGCTCGATTTGCCACACGGAGCAGCGCGAGAGTAAAGCACGAGGGAGGGGCTAATAATCGGCTCAGTCATTTTTAATGATCGTTGAAAGCCCAGATTGTAATCGAGATTAAAATTTGATTAATTGAGCAGCCCTAGTCTGGTTTAAATAATCCAAAACGTTCCAGATGTCAAAGGAAAGCTATTTGAAAAACCTCACATCAGTCTCACTCGCCATCAGGATAAACAGGTGGATGTTGTTTCAAAATGACGTTAACGTGGGCATCAAGCAAAAATACTTTGACTTCTGTAACTGTTCTTCAAAAATGTCAATCCAACTCGGCTAACTTCAGTTCAGTTTTATTTATATGGTGCAAAATCACAATAGCAGTCACCTCAACGCGCTTTATATCTAAAGGTAAGGACTCTACAATAATACAGAGAAACCCCGACAATCAGATGACCACCAACGGTGTCCAAGAGCTTCTAGTTTGAAAAGATGACGACGGCCGAAATGCTCAGCTCAAGCCGATCCATCCATCTTTACGTACAGTCTATGTATTTCACTCTTTGTGAAAGTTCAGTCAGTAGTTCAAAACGTCACTTGCACCTTGTAGGTTCCTTTTTTCTGTAGTGGTTACTGGAGATTGTCGTCTTCCCCCTGATGAAAGGAAAGTTTGAGTGCTCTCGTGCTTTGTTTTGCTTTAATTGCCAAACTTGAAGCTTGAATTTCTTTCCTCTTGCAGAGGTCCGAACCCCAGCAAAGTGCTGCAGCAACTGCTGCTGCTCCAGCCTGAGCAGCAGCTCGGCATCTTCCACACTCTGCAGTCCCACCTGAGAGACAAGGGCATCCTCCCACCTGCTGCTGTCCAGGCCGAGTGATGCGGCACCACCTCCACAGGGCGATGACCTGGGAGCGTGCGAGACGGTTTTCAGAGTTGGCGTAAGCATGTACACGCAGGCACGCATGCAGAACAGCCGTATGGTATGTGTGTGATTTCTGGCATATATCGGAGCATCCATCGTCATCCTGTCGGCTCTTCGTTCAACTTCCAATCAGCTCAAGATCACAACTTTGAACCTGAGGTGACTACAAGGAACAATCTAGTAGGAAAGAAACTAAAAACAAAAAGGAAAAAAAAAGGTGGCTGCGTTGCTTTTCACTTGGACCGGCATCAGCTGCAGCACACTTCACGAGTGAACGGGCCGCCGTCATCCTTAAAACACACACTGAAGAAAAAGATGTACTCGCTCAACAACAGTGACTGTAAAGCACGCAGCTTTCTCAGTGGAGGGTCGACGTGCAGATTCGCTGTGGACGGCAAATATTGCACTAAATTTAGATTTTAAAAATGGATTTAAGAAGCTTTTACCAGCATAAACTGGGCCCAAAGTGTTGAGCACGTGGACCTGAGTTACAACAAACTGGGTGTGGGTGAAGTAGTGATGCAGCAGGGTTGTCAAACATACTGCTAAATGAAGCCATGCTTATTCTCCACTTCCACAACATTTAGCTTTTAGGTTTCTGACTACATCTAAGATAACTCGCACAATAATAGTCAAATGACTGTAGGCATGTTAACAGCATCAGCTGCACACTCAGCACTCGAATAATGTTGTACATAAATCTACTGAAACTATTTAGCAATCAATGCATATAATATATTACTACTTTATGTGACCTGCTGCAGAAAAAGACTTTTAAGCTATGAGAAGTGATATGCAAAAAAAAAAAAAGAGATGTAGCTTTGATTTAGATTTGTAGCTTTTAGCATGAAGAAATTAGATTTTTAACAGGTAGCAATGTAGAGGTGTTTGGGTGATTAAAAAAAAAAAGATAATTTAAAGGAATAGGTTGAATAGTGGTTTTTGGGAAATGTAATCAGTGGTTTTCTGTCTTTGAGCTGATAAAAAGATCAGTAGCACTGTCCTCTCTGTATCTATAAGCACAGCAATACAGTAGAAAATATAGAAAATATTATAAAGATCAGTAGAAATTTTTTTAAAAAGTCACAAATGTGGAGCAGCAGAACATAGTTTTATAATGTCATTACTATACCTATTATATAGCACCAAATCATAACAGCAGTCGCCTCAAGGCGCTTTATATTGTAAGGTAAAGACTCTACAATAATACAGAGAAACCCCAACAATCAGATTTTAACCAGTGGATGAAAAATCACACATAAACGTCACATGAGTGGGCAGGAACAGTTTCAAACAGACTCGTATGCAAGTGTAAAAGTTATTGTACTAATTTCTCTCCTTTACAGCTCAACTCATTTCCCTTTTTCCGGGTTTTTCCTGGTTTGTTATGGGCCGTTTGGAGGTGAGAATACCTGCAAATGCATAGCTTACTTAATACAAGTCTGTGCATTTTCCCATAAGAAAGAGGAAGTATGTTTATATTGAAGTCCCTGCAGCTTCATTTTCAAATTCTTCTGCCTATTTGGAATCTAGAGTCAGTCTAGCCACTGGTTTATTCGTCGTTTGTCTATTTCGACGTTTAACTTGAGCAGTTTTGGATTTGACTTTAAAAATGTAACCAGAGGCGGCGCCTGACTCGGTCCAGATTTGAATCCACGATGTAACTGAAATAGTGTTTTATTGTTCTAGAGATTGGACAAAATTGCAAATTTTATATCCCAACAACACAAATGCATAATAATTAATAAAAGAAACAGAAAAAATTGTGATGTTCAAGAAAATTCCAGAAATTAGTCCCAATCCCCACCCTGATATCCTTCTGGATCCACAGACACATTCGTCCATGGCAGTGAGGTCATTTCCATCCTCACAAAAATCCTACTGTACAGATTAGATTACACAGGGAACAACTTTAAGTTGGTGGAAAACTGCAACAGCCTGCAAAGCTGCCCTCTGGTCTCTGTATTGGGGAAAAATCCTTACTCTGCAGGGTTGCTAATTAGCAAGTCAGTGACAGAGAGTTTGAAGGACGCGTGTTGATCTGTGAGCTTTAGAGGAATGACTCGCTGCTCACACAGGACTGAATCTTCACGTCAGACTCTTGGAAAGAAAACGAATGAGCACATTTCCCGAAATGTGAAACTGTTTCCTTCAACCAGTGATTTTAGTTGCACTGTGGGGGTGGTGGTGGTGTTTGAGGGGGAGGTTTCCATCAGATCGTTTTTGGATGCTTTAGGGTGTTTTTGCACATCAAATCAATGTTTTCTAAGTTTGAATGTAGATTGCAATACAAAATGTTATCAATGATAACATGAGATTAAATATAGAGCCTATATACTGTACGATGGAGTGTATGTACAGTATATAAAACACTTCTTTAGGTGTACAAAGAACTCTGGGAGGTGGTTTTATTAGCTATAAGTGCAAGTTGTAGTTTGATTCTTTAGAGTATGGATCGGATAATTTTAATGTCAGAGGAAATGTGATGATTCGTATTTATGTTTTTCACGTGTTACGTTTGCAAAGAGATTCTCTGTTTGTATGCAGATCCTTTCACAGAGACGTTTACCAAAGCACTGTTTGATCAACACTGATTTTCTTCTGTTAGTGAAAAAGCTCAAAGAGTCAGATCTCTCCTGTCCCGACTTTCCCTGCTCATCCCGAAACACTCAAACCTGGAAGGTGAGAGTTTGGAATTGAGTTGGAGCGCTGACATCTGGATCTGTGTTGTGTTCACACGCTTCAGTCGTTGGTCAACGAGGATATTTTAATTTATTCGTCCGGTTTGTTCTGTTCGTTTTTTCATCGTAGATTCCAAGATGTGAACGAGAGGTTCAGGTTGAATTTTTGGGACCAGCTGTATCGTACTGTGTAAATCTTTTAACTACCGCTTTACGCGCTTTTCTTTACGCACCCCTCACGCGTCCAGCATTCGTAGAAGCAGCGAAGGACGCAGACGTCTGGACCGGCGTGTCAACACTAAAGAGATCCGACCAAAAGTGGAGCAGGAATTGACTCAGAATTATCTGTGGATTTATATGGAGCCTGGAGTGTGCCAGTGGAATAATGTGACTCGTAAATTAATTCAAAATGTGGATATAAATTAGCTGCTGTCCCAGGTAATGACTCTGCGTATTGTCTGGAAGGATAATGAGCGAACTTTAGAAGTGCCTTTTATTTAAAATAGATATACTTTGTTAAATACTATAGTACTGATTCCTCCAGTCTCTTAAATTCAGCTCCCATAATGATCATAATCAACACCATCGGTCAGTCTGAGGGTGTGGATTCATTTCCCGGTGGGTGTTGGAGTGTTTGCTGTTCTTCTACCGATCGAATATTTATTTTTAGTCCTACCCACGTTTATTGCACACTACCAGTTTAACCTTTTTTCTCTTTAAGCCGCACAGTTCAGGTTGTAATCTGGAAAGTATGGAGCGAATGAGCAGCAGGTGGGACTCAAGTCTTTGTTACCTGGCCAGGTGAGCTATAGCTGTGGCTATCTAATGAATCTTTAATTGATATACTTAAGATGTATATTATTTCACTGGGACACTTGAGACTCCATATTTACAGCTGTAGTTCCACGACACACGTGCATACTAATTTATACTTTCCTACCACGTTGCACACAAAGGTAGAAAAGAGAACAGGTAGCTGTCAGGTGACGATGCAGACTTTCAGTTGTTGTGTTTTTAATTTATCATTTTGTGTACGTTTGGTTTGATTTGAGCAGAAATGTTTTCTAATGAGATGGATAAGGAAAATGTGTATCTACTGAGGAATAATGCTGTTTAATATTAGGGGCAATACAAAGTACGGTAAATAAACACACTGATATCTTAATAGAGAGATTGTGAAGGTGTTTAATGTACGGAGGTAAATAAAGACTTTTTTCTTTAAAATGTTTTTATTCCGATTCGTGTTTTTGATCATGAGAAGACAAATCACTTTTACATTAAAGGATCGACTTCAGATTTATTCACAAAACAAAGCCTGACAGTTAGGAAAAGAGAGATTTTGCACAGAGTGAAAGAACAAATGTGGAGTTTGCACTGATAGAGCCGTTACTAACACACGTGTAAGCATAAAGAGCTGGTCAGATGTTTCCTATCGACTCTGAGCTTTAAACACACCACCGAGCAGATAAAGACAATAAAAATGTAACTGGGTTGTAATACATAACGATCTTAATGCCATTTTGTGTTCTTTATTTTCACCATGAGAAGTATCAGGATAAATGGGAAAGTTATACAGTGACAAAACTAACAACTTTGCTGCTTCTACCAATAACAGCCACCAACACCAACAGCAGGATTTTGGCTTATCCAGGTAACTTGAGACTAAACCTGGGTTTTAGTATTACACAGGTGGTTCAGCAGCCGCGGTGCTTTCAGTCTGTTTTGTGTTTAACCACCTCAAATTTTTGTAGTAGTGCACTACATAAGAATCAGTCACTGCTGCCCACGTGATCATGCTATTAGCCATGTTATCAGGTTGATAACAACCTTCGTGTGACTGCTTGGCCTGATTGGGGCTGCCGGGGTTCGTGAAGCCAGACAACGGAAAGATATCCTGCATTTAACTTGCTTCCAAGTACAAATGATCAGTTATGAATACCTTGAAACTAAAACGATGCACTGTAGTGCAGCCGGGATATGAAAGCAGAACGACAAAGCAAACACAGACAAACTTTTCTGCGTCCTCTGGAAGGTTTCTGTTAAAGTGCATCATAGTTTTCTTTGAGTAAGTCGAAAAAACAAACAAACAAAAAAATATCAGCATGATGGAGCAATACATCTGGACTAAAGTGGCTTCAGTACATCAATAACAACAGCGCCCCCTACTGGAGAAAGGTTACCACCCTCCCCATTTAAAAAATGACTTGTTTAGGTCAGTTAATGTTGTTATCTGTCAAATCTTCAGTTTTTCATAAAACTTGGTGTTAATGCAAAAACAAAACAAGCCTCAAACATGCACAATCTGACATGTTCTACATTTACATGTTTATTTAATGGGCCTCTGCAAATACCCTCGTTACACCCCAGGAAGCTACAGCGACGCCTTAAAACTTGGCTTTTCACATATTTTTGGTAAATCGGGGCGTAATAATCATGTAGTCAAAGTAACGTATACACAGTGCATGATAAGGACGATGCAATAGCGACATCAATTTAAAAAAGTCACACATTACTGCGGTTATTAGACACTAAGATACACATGATGGAAATATAGTGCAATTTGAAAAGTTATGGCCTCTCCTGATTAGAAGTATTTTTAAAGTGCCAACACTCAAGACTTAAAGGAGACCAGTTTGACAGAAAGACTTCTCCTGCCACACCATCAGCTCATGGATGTCCTGCAGGGGGCGTCTGAGCATGCTCAGAAAATCCTCGATGGGTGATTAGAGGCTATTCTGGCTCAGTTAACTGATAGCGGCTGGACGGACCGTGCTCTGCACATGAAGTAATAAAACTAAAACACAATGACTGAATCACATTGATTAACTGCTGATTAAAACCTGCACTGGTACTCTTCATGTTACTGTAAAGTAAATAATGAACGAATAGGCTCTGGCCGTCAGTATCAGCTCTGCTCCACTAAGTATTTCCCTAATAAATCTCCTTCCATGGTTTATATCTAATCCCATTTACACCGATGCTCTCAACATTTGAACCGGTCTAAATGCTTTCCATTTTGTTGCCGGTGTGAAGCCCAGCAGGCTCCTCATGAGGTCAAATATAAGCACATTCACAGACCAAGCCCTTCAGCAACATTGCCTCTCAGATCTGTCAGTTAGCATCAGTTCCCTGTCCACACCCCCTATGTAACTAGAGCATTAAATGGCACTCTTGTTTCGTCAGCTTCCTCCTCTATGACGATCCTCCGATCGGACCTGTCAGGACAGAAAAGTAGCCGCAGCAGCGCTAACCCGAGACGCACCAAAATCCTCAACACTAGAAAAGCAAAAGGCACCGTGATCTCCATCAGGTGGAAAATCGGGGCGCTAAATTTACTCAAAATGCACGTGAGGAAAAACGTCCCCAAAGCTACGCAGGGGTACAGAGCCAGCTTAGCCAGCATAAGCACGTGCTCACGTCCACCGTATCGCACGTAGGGGTGCAGAGTTTCCTGTTCGTTGTACAGAGCGACCACCCAAATGGCGAGCTGAAAAATACCGGCGAAGAAAATGATCACACAGCTAATCTGAATGGCTTCCAGCTCATTGTGAGAGTTGGGCGGGAACTCGTGCGTTAGCTGGTAGGCTAACGGTAAACCTCCGACGAACGCCAGCGAGAAGGTGTTCAGCAGGCCCATGAAGCGCGTTGCCTTGGTGACGTGGAGGAAGAGTGAGTGATGGACAAACCAGAGAAGGCCGACGGTGGCGAAGGAACCAAAGTAGGCGAGGTACTCGGGGCCGTAAAGCCGCAGAGCCGCCGTCAGGCTGCCGCCAAACTGCTTCTGCACGACTGTGGGATCTGGGACGTTGTCCTCGCTAGAAGGAAAGAACCGGACAAGTTAAACATTAGAAGGTTTTTCCAATTATAACCTTTGTATTACATTTAACTAGAAAATGTAACAGAATCACTGCTACTCAGAAGTTTATACGAAACTGATTTTTGAAGTATTTTTAGTGAGTTTATATTAAAGATACAGATGCCAACTCTGAGATTTGTGACCTGGATTGGAAAGTTCCTAATTTTGAGTCTTAACATCCAACTAAAAAACATTGTAGTTATGAATAAAAATACTGTAAACTGGTGCAAATTTAGACAGTTTAAGAGCTGCCACAAATGCAGAGGTGCCTAATCGTGCATTCTATCTGACGACCACCAGAGGGTGACAGCTGTGGCTGCAGGATGACTTGGCTTCCTATAGAAGTTTATGGCCTCA